ATAGCAATACCATGGAAATAATTGATTCAGTGATGTAAATCAAATTCTGAAATATTGCACTTTTCCTTCTTATGGTGTAGAGTAACTCTGAGCACCGATACATTTAAACATAGGCTAGGGATATTGAAATTAACATAAAACAAGCTATTTGAGGGGTGCTTGGGTGGCTCAGTTGGTTAAGCATCCCAACTCCTGATTTTGGCTCAGGTCATGCATGATCTCAGAGTCGTGAGATGGAACCCTGAGTTGGGCTCAGGCACTGGGTGTGGAGCCTGCTTAGGATTCTTTCTCTCCCTCTCCCCCCCATCTCTCTATTCTATTTTTTTTTTTTAAGGATTTACTTATCCATTTTAGACAGAGAGCTGGGGGAGAGGGAGAGAGCAAATCCCAAGCATACTCCCCTCTGAGTGTGGAGCCCGATGTGGGGCTCGATTCCACAAGCCCGAGATCATGACCTGAGCCGAAATCCAAGAGTCAGACACCTAACTGACTGAGCCACCCAGGCATCCCATTGCTCTCTCTTTAAAAAAAAAAAAAAAAAAGGCAGCAAGCTATTTGTTCCCACTGACCTCTGGAAAGGCTTTAAATTTTCAGCAAAGTCAAATGTCAGTAATTCTAAACTTTTTTTCCTTATAGGAAGTCATTAATTGCTACTGTAGAAAAACAACTTCTAGGTGAACACTTAACAGCAATTCTTCAGAAAGGTAATTGACCAGTTTATAAAGAGATCACTTTTAAAATGGTAGCAGCATATAAATAAAAAAAAATTCTTAAGGATTACCCTTTTAAGAAGTTCGATACTTTGTGGCTGCTTTTCTGAGAATGGACATAATCCCTTTTCCCTATTTATCATGGTAAACTTTGAGGAGGTGCTTCTTGGCTTAATTTAAAGATACAGGAACTGAGAATGAGAGGGGTCCACTAACATCAGTAAAAACAAAAAGCAACAGTGGGAATATGGGAATTCTTGACTTAATTTGTAAGACTGTGGTAGGGGAAAGAATTTTTTCTTACACTAAAGTGTATATGTTCATAGCATATAAAACCAAACACTTCTAATCCCAAATGATCTTAAGGGTAAACCCCGAATTTTACTTGGACAATGCCAGAAATAGACAAAAGCCTTACCTTTCTCTCCAACCATCTTTTCTTTTATATAAAATGGTTATATTTTAGAACTTTAATGCAGTTACACTATTAGTTCATTCTGAAAATGGAATGCATTAGAATCTTGTTCAAACTTGGCCTATTAGTGCACGGTTTTTGAAATACCGCAGACCATATCCAATACTCTGAAATACAGTTGTGTATACTAATTAGTGCCAGATGTAGGATGGCTACTGCACATATGAGTGAGTTATTTATAATGTGTATTTAAGTAAATCAATTTTTACGAATTGGTTTATACATCTGATCTACCATGCTAAATAGCACAAACCATTACAGAATTGTTTTTGTGTTTATATAAACTAAAGCTCCTTGTATTTAGTTTGCATTTGGAAAGGTGATGTATCTATTTGGATTTAAGAGAAAACAAATCTTTATATTAAAATTCATAGACTAGTAATAGTTTAGACCAGTATCACAATAATAATTTAACTTAATTTTCATTAAAATGTCTGGCATTTTTGTTCACTATTTTTAATGCCAAAATGTTTGAAAATTCAGGTTTAAATAACCTCCTTGATGAAAACCGAATTCAAGATTTGTCTCTCCTGTATCAGCTCTTCAGTAGAGTTCGAGGTGGAGTTCAGGTTCTCTTGCAGCAGTGGATTGAATACATTAAGGTATTAACAATTAACCTGTGGCGTTTTTTCTCTTATGTCTTAAAATCAGAGTACATATCAGCAAGCATTTCTTAATTGTTAGACCCGGTTTTTTTTAAGTAATGTGAGTTTTGAGGGCAGTCAGCCTGAGAATGATCTGTGTAACAGATCAGCAATAAAAGTTATCTTCTTGATATCTGATGGGATTTCTAGCTCCAATATTGAGAATAGTGAATATGGGGGAAAAAAAGAGGACTTTTTTGGGGTCCAAAATTTCTTTCCTTTCTTCAGTTTTATACTGAAGCCAGATTGCCATTTAAAAAAAAATTCATACCTCACTTCCTTAAAAGTTAGGGACAAAAGCCTAGAGGCTTATAATAATGCCCTATTATGATACTGTATACCCAGTGGGTCATTCCTTATTTTGTGATTATAGATGAATGGTTATCAGTCTGGATGTTCTATCACTTTATTTTTCTTTTCCTGACTTCAAAAACAGCTTTATTTTATTTTAATATCTTGTAATTTAAAAATGTGTACCTACTTAAAATATGATTTGGGAATTGTTTTCATCAGAGAGAATTCAATTTTAAAAAGTGGTCATTTTTGTTTTTTAGGCATTTGGCAGCACTATTGTAATTAATCCTGAAAAAGATAAAACCATGGTTCAAGAATTGCTGGATTTTAAAGATAAGGTTGACCATATAATTGATATTTGCTTTCTGAAAAATGAAAAATTTATCAATGCCATGAAAGAAGCATTCGAAACATTCATTAACAAAAGACCAAACAAACCTGCTGAACTTATAGGTATTTTTCCAGTCTTTTTCCCCCCGGCTATTTAATGTTCTTTTATTCATAAAATTTTAGTCAATTTGAAATTTTGACAAGGTTGTGTAGTTTATTAACACATTTATTTGGGGTTGCTTAGGTGCTAGTTTCTAAGAATCTAGACATAAGGAATAAGTAAAGAACATCTCAAGGTAGAGAACGTCTCAAGTTCACATGCCAAACATAATGTTTTTTCTTTGTAAGATAGTACATTGAACCCTGTTTACTCTTATCTATACGAAGCTGGATATCTGATTTCTAAGCCTATAGCAATTTAGAGGTAGGGTAGGGTGCTACTTCTAGAGGCCCGCACTTAGTGCTACAGGAGAGGGTAGCAAGAAATTACCGTTGCTAGTGAGAAAGGAAAAATGTCCAGGACAAAAATAAGCTTAATAATCTGGGCCCATTTAGTGTAAGGCTGTGGTATACAGCAGTGTTTCTCGGATTTCCCTACCAAACTTCCCTTTAATGTCAGAAGGAGAGGTACCCTGTGATGAAGGTCTAGGCTCTTCTACCAGAAGGATAAAATTTCGTTGGTCTATTACTTATCCTTTAATTTTTTGGCAAATTTTGCCTTTTACTCTGTGATGTGTCTGGTTTGTTTTAATAAGCAGTCTTTAAGGCTCCTTAACATCAGTGTAAAATGGACACCCCAGGAGATGTGCCAGGTCTTTCAGTGGCTTTTTTTTTTTTTGAGATGTACTTGACATACAGTATTATCTGAGTTTCAGATGTACAACATAGTGATTCAGTGTTTGTATACATTGTGAAATGATCACCACAATAAGTCTAGTTACCATCTGTCCCCTTACAGAGTTAATACAATATTTATGGACTGTATTCCCTATGCTGTACATTACGTCCCCATGACTTACTTATTTTATCACTGAATTTGTACTTCTTTATCCCCTCCACCCATTTTGGCACCCCAGCCCCCCTTCCCTCTGGCAACCACCAGTCTGTTCTCTGTGTTTGAGTCTGAATTTTTTGTTTTTTAGATTCCACATATAAGTGAAACCACGTGGTATTTGTCTTATTTCTCTGTCTTCATTTCACTTAGCATAAAACCCTTAAGATCCATGTTATCGCAGAAGGCAAGATTTCATTCTTTTTATGACTGAGTAGTGTTCCATTACACACACACCCACACATACCCTTTCTTATCCATTCATCCACTGATGAACACTTAGGTTGTTTCCCTATCTTGGATATTGTAAATAATGCTACAGTGAACATGGGGGTGTATATGTCTTAGTGTTTGCATTATCTTTGTAGTGGAATTGCTGGATCATATGGTAGCACTGTTAATTTTTTGAGGACCGTCCATACTGTTTTCCATGGTGGCTGCACCAGTTTGCATCCCCACCAACACTGCACGAGGGTTCCCTTTTATCCACATTTTCACCAAACATTTTTTTTGTCTTTTCAGTCCTAACTATTCTGACAGATGTGAGGTGCTATCCCATTATGATTTTGATTTGCATTTCCCTGTTGATTAGTGATATTGAGCATCTTTTCATGTGCTTGTTGGCCATCTGTATGTCTTTGGAAAAAGACATTCAGATCCTCTGCCAATTTCTTAATTGGATTTTTTTGTTACTGAGTTGTATGGGTTCTTTATCTATGTTGGGTATTAACCCCTTATTGGATATATGATTTGCAAATATCTTCATTCCATCTTTTCCCAAAAAGGTCGCCTTTTCATTTTGTTGATGATTTCCTTCTCTGTGCAGAAGCTTTTTAGTTGAAGTCCTATTTGTGTATTTTTGCATTCATTTCCCTTGCATTTAGAGTCATACTCAGAAAAAAAAAATTGCTAAGACCTGTGTCCAGGAGCCTACAGCTTATGTTTTCTTTTTTTTTTTTAAGATTTTATTTATTTATTTGACAGAGAGACACAGCGAGAGAGGGAACACAAGCAGGGGGAGTGGGAGAGGGAGAAGCAGGCTTCCCGCTGAGCAGGGAGCCCGATGCGGGGCTCGGTCCCAGGACCCTGGGATCATGACCTGAGCCGAAGGCAGACGCTTAACGACTGAGCCACCCAGGTGCCCCCAGCCTATGTTTTCTTCTAGGAGTTTATGGTTTCAGGTCTTCATCCATCCATTAAAAAGACAGTCAAGTCTCTAATCCATTTTGAGTTAATTTTTCTGTATGGTGTAAGATCATGGTCCAGTTTCATTCTTTGGCATGTGGCTGTCCAGTTTTCCCCAGTACCATTTATTGAAGAGACTGTCTTTTTTCCCATCATATATTCTTGCCTCCTTTGGCATAGATTAATTGACCATATAAGCATGGGTTTATTTCTGGGCTCTCTATGCTGTTCCATTGATATGTATGTCTCTTTATATGTTAATACCATACCGTTTTGATTACTACTACAGGGGTTTATTTGGTTTGTTTTTTTGAAATATGGAATGCTTCATGAATTTGCATGTCATCCTTGGAGGGGCCATGCTAATCTCTGTATCCTTCCAATTTTAGTCATACGTGCTGCCAAAGTGAGCAATGATTACTAAAGTTTTGTAGTATAGTTTGAAATCAGGGAGCATGTTACCTCTGGCTTTGTTCTTTCTCAAGATTAGCTATTTGGGATCTTTTGTGGTTCTATACATATTTTTAAGTTACTTGTTACAGTTTTGTGGAAAATGCCATTGGGATTTTGATAGGGATTGCATTGAATCTGTAGATTACTCCCTCTGCCCCTTCCCCTGCTTGTGCTGTGTCTCTCTCTCAAATAAATAGATAAAATCTTTTTTAAAAATTTACTTTTAGGTATTTTATTATTTATTTTTTTAAGATTTATTTATTTGAGAGAGAGAGTGGGGTAGGGGCAAAAGGAGAGGGAGAGGGAGTCTCAAGCAGACTCCATATGGTGTTCCATTTTGCGACCCTGAGATCACGACCTGAGCTGAAACCAAGAGTTGGATGCTTAACCGACTGTGCCACCTAGGTGCCCCGGTATTTTATTCTTTTTGATGCAGTTGTAAATGGGATTGTTTTCTTGAGTTCTCTTCCTGATAGTTTGTTATTAGTGTATAGAAACACAACAGACTTTTGTATATTTTGTGTTCTGCAACTTTACTGAATTCATTTATTCTAATAGTTCCTCGGTGGTCTTTCGGGTTTTCAATGTCTAGTGTCATGTCATGTACAAATAGTGACAGTTTTGTTTCTTCCTTTCCACTGTGTATGCCTTTTATTTCTTTTCCTTGCCTAATTGCTGTGCCTAGACTTCCAGTACAGTGTTGAATAAGAGTGGGTATAGTGGGTATCCTTGTCTTGTTCCTGATCTTAGAGGAAAGCTTTTCACTGTTGAGTATGATATTAGCTGTGAGTATGTCATATATGGCCTTTATTTTGTTGAAGTATGGTCCTGCTATACCCACTTTCTTGAGAGTTTTTAACATAAGTGGATGTTGAATTTTGTCAAATGCTTTTTCTCTATCTGTTGATGATCATATGATTTTTATCTTTCATTTTGTTAATGTGGTGTATCCTGTTGATTGATTTGTGGATGTTGAACCATCCTTTCATCCCTGAAGTAAATCCCACTTGATCATGGTGTAAGACCCTTTTAGTGTATTGTCGACTTCAGTTACCACGTCCAAGCCCCCTCCCTACGCTAGCAGGCTATGTGGAAAGTGCAGTGATGGTGTCTGCCATCACCTTGATCTCTAGGGAGCATATGAGCTATATCCCGCCCCTCCGGCTGATATGCCCCCAAGTCAGCAAATGTATCTTTCACATACAGTCTAGGTGCTTTTCAAACTGCTGTTTTTTCACTGGGTCTTGGGGTGAGCCACGCCACAAGAGAGTCCCCCAAGAGTGGAATGTCCATTTCCTACAGCACTTTGGGATCCCTGGAAATCAGGTCTGTTTGTTTTTTAAGTCTGACATTTCAGGGGCTCATCTCTGTAGTGCAGATCACTGGGGCCAGGGTGCCTGAAGTAAGGCACCAACCCCTTCTTCCTCCAAGAGAAGCACCTGTCTGGTGAAATCTTTCCCTGTTGTGTGTTGTTATACCTCTGTTGTCTCTGCCTCTGCTACGCATCTTGATGTGATCCTTTCATCCTTTGTTGAGGAGAAGAGTTCACCTAGTTTTCAGATGTTTTTCAAAAGGAAATGCTCCATGTAGCTGTAGCTGGGAGTGTGTTCATGGGAGGAGGTGTGTTCGGGCTCTTCCTATTCTGCCATCTTGGCCCTCCCCCCCATCCTCAGTGGCTTTGATGACTCCAGCATGGTTCTGTATACACTACCTCCCCGACGCTACCCCATTTTAATCATCAGGATAGTGGAAGTGGAAAGTACATTTGATCAGGAGCCGGAAGACTTGGGTTTGAGTTCAGGCTCTGGTATTTATTAGCTCTGTGAGATTGAATAAGTCATTTGCTAACCTTGACTTTGGAGACTTTAAAAAATGCATGTATACCTCTGAAACCTTGAAAAACTCAGTATATCATACTCCTGTTTGGGTATATCTAGTGCCTAGTACCTTACGGATACCCATGGTCACTAAATATAATCACTAAACAATGAACTTTCCCCCCATTTTAGCTAAGTATGTAGATTCAAAGCTTCGCGCAGGCAACAAAGAAGCTACAGATGAAGAACTTGAAAAAATGTTGGATAAAATTATGATCATATTTAGATTTATCTATGGTAAGTGTTTTTGTTTTAAAATTTTTCTTTTCAAACAGAGCACTCAGCAGAGAAACTATCAAGTATAATTAACCAGAAGGGAGTATTTATTTGGGAGTTAGATATTTAAAATTGTATTATACTTGTTGCATTTCATTCATTAGGGTACTTGAGGAATATTACTTCATTGCCTTGTGCTTTGACTTTTCCACTTATTAAGAGCCTGGATTTTTGCTACTTGTTTTAATTTCTATTGATGCTAAAGCCACCAGTTGACTCAAGTTTTTTTTTTTTTTTTAAGTTAATGCAGGCTTAATTCTTTATAGCAAAGAACTTTAGAAATATCCGGCATAAATATCTACTTCTAATGTCTGTTGTATTTAATGAACTTGGGTAAATGTATACATTAAATAACTTGAAGTAATGGTGTGATTTATTAAGCACTTTGGAGCAATTTTGTCAAAACTTTTTATTGGACTCTTTTGAGTTGTGTTTTATTATTTAACATAGGTAAGGATGTTTTTGAGGCCTTCTATAAGAAAGATTTAGCCAAGCGCCTGTTGGTTGGGAAGAGTGCATCTGTAGATGCTGAAAAATCAATGCTGTCCAAACTTAAACATGGTATGATTGTCATTCTTTCTGTTCCTTTTCTTTGATTTCTGAGGGAAAATGTTAGCTTAATTTTTACTCTTTAATTGCCTCTTTGATTAATCATTGTTCATATGATGAAAATTAAATAAGCTTATGAGGTTTCCAAGCTATTGTACATATCCAGAGCTGTTGCAGTTTTTTAAAAAATAAAGCATTGCTCTTGTTTTTGTTATTTGTATAGATATTTTCCATTTATTTTATGCCTAAATAGTAGATAAGGTTACTACAGGATTAAAGAGTTTGACTGTGAATTAATGGGGCATACAGTTTGGGGTAAGGATTTTTTCATTCTTGTGAATAAAGATCATATTTCGTGCTAAAGTAAGTTTTATATTTCATGTTTTCAATTTTCAATTCTTTGTTTTCACTTTAAAATATCATAAATGTATAAACGTCTTTAATAGAATGTGGAGCTGCTTTCACCAGCAAACTTGAAGGAATGTTTAAAGACATGGAACTTTCAAAAGACATCATGATTCAGTTCAAACAGGTAAAAGTGAGTTAAACTCTTACTTAATTTCTCAAACTTAAGTATATTTAGTTATCTTCTTCCTGTGATTTGCCCTGAAGAGGATAAATAGGAACCTATATTTGTTGTAAATATATCATAGCAGCTTAGATGATATTCACATTAGAGGGAAAAAACCACCAACAAAATACATTTGACCTACTTCAGCATTTATTCCCGATATATATATACCCAAGGTAACAAAAAACCCCGAATCAAATGTATTGACTGAAGTCAGGACAAGAAAAACTGTAGCTAGATCGTGAGAACAGGGCTTTCACTAGCATCTAATCACTGTTGGTGATATGTTTGTTCAAAGCTGGCAGTGGGGAGCGGGGGGGAGGTGATAGAACGGTTGTATAAGGCCTCTGGGAACATCAGGAATGAAAAGCTAGCTCCACAGTTTTGCAGATATTGGTAGAAGGTGGTTTTGAAATATTTAAGAGCATGGGTAACAGTGAGAGCAAATTAGATTCTGCTCTCAGTCTTTTAGTGGTGACTTCTTTACCACTGTGTTGCCCCGGTGGGGACTGAGGGCGGGCAACACAAGAGAAAGACCAAGAGGACCATGGTCCTGTAGTAGTGACAGAATAGGGCTTATGTTCTTTGCCCTCTCCCCTTCTTCTTCCTGCCCCACTTCAGGTCATCCCCTGCACACAGGCAGTGCAGCAAGTGAAAAGCCGGAGACTTGGGCTGGCTGGTGGGGTGAGGCATGGGGTTTGCTACAGGGACTTCCAAGCCACATAGGGGTCTCCAAAGGTGGGGACTGCAGGTGGTAGGGGGAAAAGAATGGAGAATGAGGGACGCCTGGGTGGCGCAGTTGGTTAAGCGACTGCCTTCGGCTCAGGTCATGATCCCTGTCCAGCGGGGAGCCTGCTTCTCCCTCTGGCCCTCCCCGCTCTCCAGTCCTCTCTCTCGCTCACTTTCTCTCTCTCAAATAAATAAAATCTTAAAAAAAAAAAATGGAGAATGAGATTCTACCTATAATAGCCCAGCCATAAGTGAGAAATTATTTAAGTCACTGATGCCTCTAACAAGGTCACGTGATCCTTGTGTGCCATTGTAATAAAATACTAACTAGTACATTTAATGTAGGCTTCATTCATAGTCCTTTTATAACAGTTGCCTTTTATTTTAAAGATGGTCAGTGTTTGCATGTAATTTTATAATGGGGAACTTCTTGAATGGGTTGTTATTATGACATGAAATGTATGCACCTTTATTTTTAAGATCTTAGTGTATGTGTTGATCTTATTGTAGTATATGCAGAACCAGAATGTACCTGGGAATATTGAATTAACTGTGAATATCCTGACAATGGGTTATTGGCCAACATATGTGCCTATGGAAGTCCATTTACCACCAGAGGTAAGACTTGCTGTTCAGGACTTGAGTTATAAGCATAGAAATACATAAAGCTTCTGTTTTGCTTGTCTTTGAAAAATAAATACTTTCTAAAAGTTTATGCCAGCTGTTTTAACATTTTGCTCTCCTTTTTATGTGACTCTCGTACTTATATCATAGAGTGTAGTTAATGATATCAAGTTTCTGGGTTCAGGGCCAACTTCTCTGACTCTTCTTTTAGTTCCCCAGATTGTAACCATCATTCTGCCCAGCTCTCAGAAATTTTTGCTCACGTATCACCTGGGGGTTGGATTGCTGAGTGAGTGGGCTTGAGTAAATGCATCCTAACTTTTGAGGAAATGTCT